ACCCAACTACCCAAAATAAAAACATATTAGCAGCGAATAACTATCAAGGGTTTTTCAAGGGTTTTTACAGTTCAGAGGCTGTGAGAGTGCAACATATCAAAAGAACAAATCGGTAGAACAAAACATCGCAGCTTCTTCACTGCACTGAAGAAGAATCACATCCCCACTTCAAATCTGTCCGCCATGAGAAGAGCTTCCTCCAAGCTTCTACCTCACCTCAAAAATCAACACAGAAAACACCCCACAATCCCACCTTTTTGTGCCGATTTTTTCACATCCTCCGATCATTCTCTGCCGCGCCACCCGAAATCCCATCAGAACAAACCATTCTCCGAAACTCAATCTCCGCTCTACCCCAACCTCGGTCTCCATGGCTTCCGGCCCGGCCCTTCTCGCAATTTCAGCACCCTCGTGGGCCCAATTGCCCAGAACGGGCCCCAGGTGCCGTCGAGGCAGCGGAAAATCATGGAAAGAGCAGATCTCGAAGAGGCCTTCGAGTCCGCGGAGTCCATCGATGAAATGCTCGAGGCCTTCAAAGCCATGGAGACAACTTTCGAAGAGAAGGATTTAGGTTTGGCCTGTCTGAAAATCGGTCTCAAGCTGGATAAAGACGGTGAGGATCCTGAAAAGGCCCTTTCATTTGCTCAAAGAGCACTTAGAATTTTCGATGACTGCAATGATAGTAATAGCGACCGTGATTCGGGTAAAAATATGTTGTCTCTTCCAATTGCTATGACTCTGCAGTTGTTGGGTTCTTCCAGCTTTAACCTCAAAAGATTCAACGACAGTTTAGGCTATTTAATTAGGGCCAATAGGGTGTTAGCTAAGTGTGAGGCAGAAAGTTCTGTTTACAGGGACGAACAAATTCTGCCTATTCTGCACGCGGTTCAGCAGGAACTCTTCAACGTGAAGACAGCCATGGGCAGGAGAGAGGAAGCTATCGTTCATCTGAAAAAGTCGCTGGAGATTAAAGAAAGAACCCTCGATGAAGACAGTAAAGAGCTCGGAAAAGCCAATCGGGATATGGCCGAGGCGTATGTTGCTGTCTTGAATTTCAAAGAGGCATTGCCCTTTTGTCTGAAGGCTTTGGATATGCACAAAGAACATTTAGGACACAATTCGGTTGAAGTTGCCTATGATAGAAGACTACTGGGGATCATATACACCGGATTAGAGGATCACGAGAAGGCACTCGAGCAAAACCAGCTTTCTAGAAAGGTCCTGAAGAAATGGGGACGTGACTCGGATTTGCTTCGTGCCGAAATCGATGCTGCAAACATGCAGATTGCTTTGGGAAGGCATGAGGAAGCCTTTAACACCTTGAAAGGGATCGTTCAGCAGACTGAAAAGGAAAGCGAGGATCGTGCTATGGTGTTTGCTGCCATGGCGAAAGCTCTCTGTAATCAGGAGAACTTTCCGGATGCTAAGAAGTGCCTAGATATTGCATGTGGGATTTATGACAAGAAGATAAGGACTTCCCCTGATGTTGTGGCAGAAGCTTTTACTGAAATCTCGACGCTTTACGAGACCATGAACGAATTCGAGACTGCGATATCTCTGTTGAGGAAAACACTAGCAATGCTCGAGAAGCTTCCGCAGGAGCAGCACTCGGTTGGGAGCGTGTTGGCTAGGATCGGTTGGCTGCTTTTGCTGACAGGGAAAGTCGAGCAGGCTGTCTCAGTTCTGGAAGATGCTGCAGAGAGATTGAAGGAGAGTTTTGGTTCGAACCATTATGGGGTGGGTTATGTGTATAATAATCTTGGGGCGGCTTATTTGGAGCTGGACAGGCCACAGTCAGCAGCACAGGTATTTGCATACGCGAAGGAGATTATGGATGTGGCGCTTGGCCCTCATCATGTGGACTCGATTGAAGCGTGTCAGAATCTCTCGAAAGCTTATGCGGCTATGGGAAGGTGAATGAAAATCTATAAGAAATAATTTGCACCTTGGTTTGGGTCTGGTTTATTGCTTTGCTTAGATGGATTTATTTTCTTTCTATGCTGAAAATTAGAGTGCATTAGTTGGTCTTAAAGGTGGTGGTTTTGATTTTTTTTTGTTCTTTTCTAATTCTTTTTGACTCTCTAGGAAAAATTAACATGGTAAAATGATAAACCATATATTTCAGTAGTATGATCTGTGGCCAGTTTGCCGAATATGTTGGTAGAATTTCTGTCTTAGTTTTAGAAAGAGAAATGATCTCGGGCAAAAGCTGTATTTTTCTGGTGAAGTGAAGCAAGTTAATGCTTCAAAACTGGTTTTTGGTCCTCATTAGATCCCAGTCTGTATTCCTCTAGATGTTTAAGGAAGTGGCTTGTAAAAACTTGTCAAGTGTACAAACTATACACCAATACTTCGTTAAAAGGGTCCCTTATATCCATCAGTTGAATTGTGATAGCAAAGCCGTTTATGATTTATCTATATGGAAAAAAAAAAAAAAAAAAAAAAAAAAAGATTACTAACAGTTTTTGAACTTGTTATTAATTCTCCCCATTTTTTGTATATTCTTTCTGGGATGGTCATATGTAAATACTAAATATACTACTGATTAACTCTGTCTTCGATTTGTCAGCTACCCACTAGCGATTAACTTTCAAGAGGATGCAGTTGAAGGTTTGGAGAGACATGGACCAAGTGTACAAGATGAGCTCGATGAAGCTGTTCGAGTGCTTGGGCAACTGAAAGAGAAGGCTAGCGCTCAAGTTTCTGAAGCTCTTCTAAAAGATTTCCCTATACCTGAAGGTGAAGAACTTTTCCAGGCAAAGGATTCATCGGCTTTAGAAAGGTAACGCCGTAAAGCATATTTTACAAGATGAAGAAAAAAAAAGGAGTTATGATAGGCATACCTTTCCTCGTAAGCTATGGAATTTTTTGATTTAGTATTCTCTGTGTTTTTAGGGTGGTAGAGAAATTATGGCCAATTTGTTGGTTTTAAAGGTGGCGGTTTTGAGTTTTATTTATTCTTTAATTCTTTGTTTTTTTCCTCGTTGTTATTCTTCTTGTGGTTTTTTGAGTCATTCGTAGGGAATTTTGGTATGGAAAATGTGAAGTCTTTATTCGGAGAATCTTGGAATTAATAAATTACTATTTGTTGAACAATTTCAAACTGGGGCTATAGATGAGACTGGGAAAAATCCGAGATTATATTCTTACCTACCGAGTACTGAAGCAAAATCGGTTAATCGAAATTTTTTTTTCGATTTTAGAAAAGAGATATTGACTAGTACAGAAGCTTTATTCTTTTCCGGTGAAGTGAGGTAAAATTAATGCTTCTTGATGTTTAGAATGTGGGTTTTTAGAATCTCATAAAATGTACAAGAAAATCATAGACAAAAAATATAATCTTGTTTGTATGTTTGTAAATCTCCTCATTTTTTGTCAGTAACGGTCCAAGTGCGCAAGAGGAGCTCGTTGAAGCTGTTCGACTGCTGGAGCATTTAAAGGAGAGAGAAGCTCGTATGAAAGCCTTCACTGCACCCGAAAAAGACGATGAATGAAACTTTTCCTTGCTAAGGATCCAACTTTTGGAAAGGCAGCTGTAAAAAGGTAAAGCCATGAAGAAGCAAACTGTATTTTATCAGATCATGAAGAAAGAAAAGGAGTTTATGATACGGTGACCTCAGACTCTTTAAGTTACTTTGGTTTAATATGCATAGTCTTGAAGGTGTTTGAGAAAGTCGGAAAAGGCTAGTTTTGTACTAGCTTTATATGCCTGTAAGATATGCTGCTGACTATTGAATATTGAAAGATTCTAGGTTTTTGGTTTAGAACATAGCTATTCGCAGATAATGTTAACTCGAAGAGTCTTTTTTTTTTCTTTTTTTTTTTCTGGGATCTTAACAACTTTTAGTTTGCAAATTTATGATGGCCTTTATGTTCTTGTGAATCCTACTTCAATGGAGAGAAATCCGACAAGAAATACCACCCCATACCAACCACCATAATCGAAACCCTACATAAGATGTTTTGATTTTATTTGAATTTTTAGTTTGGTATGGTTAATTTGAAAAATGTGGTATGGTTAATTATTAGTGAGATTTTGAGTTAAATCGAAACCCTATATAACATATATTGTCAGAAATTATTGACAAAATCAATGAATAATATGTTTAACTATCCATAAAAATTATTAACTTAGAAAAAAAATATTTATAATGTACATTGTTATAAATTATAATAATAAACCAACAAGATGTATGTCAAAGAATAATATAAATTATTACTTTATAGAAAAATCAAAATTTTATAATGTATATTGTTATAAATTATAATGATAAATCAATTGATGTCGAATTGTCATATAAATTATTATATTACAAATAAAATTCAAAATAATTATGATACACGTTCGTATAAAAAATATTGTGATCATTTGAATGTAATTAAAAAGTAATAATTTTTATAACTTTATATAATATACACTACATTCTTTTAAATTAAGTGTCGGTTTATAATATTTGCCACAATTTTTTAACTTTATCAACACTTATTTAGGAATTAAAATAATATGTTGTAATAAGTTGTGAGTAAGAGAAGACAAGATGGAAAATATATTTGTGAGTATTATTTATTGATAATCTTTGAATATATTAAGTTTTAACATATTTTAATTCTAAAAAAAAGTCTAAATTAACGGTTAAATATACCAATCATAGATTATACTATTATATACTTGTGGGGTTAAGCTGTGCACGCACATCCATCTCCAATTTTAGTCAATAATAAAGTATAAATTTTATGTGTTATAAATCTTTAAAATTAGTAAATTAATGTGTGCAACAAAAAGATATAAAAAGTAATTGAAAGTTAAAATAAGTACTAAGATTAAAATATATCCAAAGTGAGCTTTGAAATTCTTAATCTTCTCGATACAATAGCCAGTGATCGAGCATCCATCCGCAAGCTCTTTTATCATCCATGCGATATACGATCTCTTTCTAAGTCCAGTTGCTTCATTTATGTAAACATAAAATGATAATAAAATAGTGGTAAATAGTAGCATGGTCATTATACCCTTGATCTATATATATATAATTGCTAGCTAAGCAATAAATTTTACCTAATAAATAAAACCTAATAAATTTTACCTATGTGGCAAATCATTAATAAAACCTAACAAATTTTATTTATGTGGCATTAATACACCCAATCTCATTAAGAAAAAAAATATTTCATTATATTTTTTAGGTTAATTAAGACAAAAACCATTATATTTTATGTTAATTGATTAATAATTATATTTTTAATTGAATAATATAATAGTTAATATTAAAATTAGTAATTATATTTTATACTAAATAATATATTAAAGTTACATAAAATTATATTTTACACTAAAATTAATATTTTTTTATATGATGAAGATGGTGTTTATTAATAAATTAATTTTTTTTATGTCATAGTAAAATTTCTTAAAATCACATAAGCAATTGTTATAATAAATGTAATATTTTTCAACTAATTAATTGGTCATGACCACTCAAAATTATAAAAGTATATCTTTATTACATTTTATGCAATCAATATAGTGATTCGTGTACAATCAAATCGTGTGTACTATTTATTTTAACTAATGATCAAATTTTAAAATATAATACTATTATATAATTTATAATTTTAATATTATATACATAAATATAACTTATAATACTATATGTTTGAAATATAATACAATTATATAACTTATATTTTTTATATTATATACATAAATATAACTTATAATATTTAATTTTATTTACATTTGTGCAAATGCACAGTGTCGAATACTAGTTGGGATAAAAGCAAAAAGAACTGAAAAACAAACCACCACCACCATAAATTTGATCCCCCAGGGCACAGAGGCATACAACCCATTGAATTTGTCACCAATACACGAATGGGCAGTTTTCGACCCTCCAACGTGTGGCCCAATCTCGTAGCAAAACTCGATTGCCAGCCTCTCATGCTCACATCTGAAGAACAATTGAAATTAGTTAGAAAAAATGCGCACCAACGGGCGCTTCAGCTCGTCACTAGGTTTGGCGACAGAGGAGGACGGAGATGTAATTGCAGTCAAGATGCATTTAGCCAACCTGCGATCCACGGACACACCGACGTAGTCGTCAATTGGACTTAGGACATACTCTCTTCTGTCGAGGAACTGGTCCAGGGCAAGATGCACGGTCGGCTGGAGCTTGGAAACTGAAGTAAGCACAATAA